CCACCTATCAAGTCCTTCCCAAGGACCTGGGATAGGCAGATGTTGTTTGGTGGTGTTAAAGGTATCATTGCAGGATGTAAGCTGGTCAGAGTAAAGCTGCCTTTTGCAATTGACTGATGGTGATTTTGTCAATGCCAGTGGTCTTCAAGTGGTACTCCAGATGTTTTGAGTCCTCCTCCTCCTCCTCCTCTTCCAGCAGTTATTAAAAGACACAATATGCTTATCACTGTAATTTTGTCTTAACTATGTTAATTCTCTCCTTCTAGGTAGTAGATGCCAACAAGTGTTTTGAAAAACAGTCTCCTTCTGCTCTCTCACTCCAGCTGGCGAGTTATTACTATAGTCTACAGATCTATGCTCATTTGGCACCATGTTTCAAGGATGAATGCCACCCCCTTTACAGGGTCAGTTTATATCTATTTTTAACTATATATATATATATACACACTATAAAGCTATGCTATAAATCCAATGTGCAAGTTAAATCTAGATCAAGAGCAAACCTACTTATCTTAGCCAATTGCCCTTTTATCTTGAATCCTGTAGAAGAGCAAAATCCTTAATACAGTGTTTCCAAAAATAGATTATTTTCAGACTTCGGGGTGGGCATAATCATGAATCTTGACTTTCCACATGTTTAAGCCTATATTCAGGAAATTGTTTGTAGCAAAAGCTGACATGTACAATATAGTTAGATAAGTTCTTTATTGCAGACAAGATATAAGCCATGCCATGCAATACATAGTTCAGCTCTGGAATTCACTTTCACAGGAAATGGTGGTGACAAATGAATACACCTAAGACTATCGGTGATTACTAAGTATGAGAGCCACACATTCCAATAGTATTGCTACCCAGTTTTCTGCGAGATATATAGGCTAGGTCCACTAAAAATGTTTGCACTAAAACTCCAAGAATTGCTAGGCAACATGGTCAGACATTAATTCTAAAACAGTCATTTTAGCCTATTCAGAGAGCTCCAAATGGGACAAAGCTAATACATGGATATCATGTATGCTTCAAGTTGTTCACTTGCTTACTTTTCAGAATTCTTACGTTTATATTTTCTGTCTTGGTATATTCTTTAAAAAGATGAAAAGTAAAGAAATCCAATTCAGTTCATGTGAAGAGCTGGATTTTGAAAAAGAGAGGGGTATACATTTTTTTTTTTTTTAATATAGGCCCAGTCCTGACAGCTGCTACAGTAATGCTGGTATATATGACTATTCTAAAAATAATCTTTCAGGTCCAAAACTTTGATTTAATTTTTGAAGTGGTGGTTCTTGGGAGGGGTTTTGAGAAAAATTACTATGGTTAAAGGGAAGGATTCAGCAATGCACCTGCTTTATTAACTTGCAATCCACTCAGTCTGCCCAGAAGAATACCATGATCTGTGGTATTGAAAGCCACAGAGAGAGAGTAAGGGGCAGGTTGAATATGCTACCACTATTCTGAGCCCTCCAGAGGTCATCCACAAACACAATCAGTGCCATCTCCAAGCTGTATTCCAGTCTGAACCTAGACTGCAATGGTTCCAGATAATCATCTTCCTCCAGGGCCCTTTGAAGATGTAGGCCTACCACATTCTCGACAATGAGAATGTTTGAAGCCTGGGGAAAAAAGTCTATGGCCTCCTTCAAGGCAGTAAATACCCACAGAGAGGTATTTACTACCCCTTAAACTCAGCCACATGTCACCTCCAGGGAAGCACTAACCAACCAGAAGGAGCATGTATCAACCACACATGTGGCAGGGGTCAGCATCCCAAAGAACCTGTCTACTTCTTGGGAGAAACCAGATTGAACTCTGCCCAGATAAATGGATTAGACTGTGTCCCCATCATCTCCATAGAACCAGCACAGTCTAACTCCAAGCGGGTCTGAGCAACTTCATCCATCAGATGCTGAGCATAATGTTCAAATGACCCTGCAGAGGTCACCTGAAGTAGGGTTGCTGGGCAGCTGTCTGCAGACTCAATAAGGGTGGAGAAATAAGCACATTTCACTGCCTTTATTGCCACAAGGTAGTCCTTAATTTAAGGTATTACTTGGATTAGATATTAGTTGCACAGGGGAATGACAGAGGCCTATGTATTAAAATGTGTGTTTGCTGTCAGAAATCTTCAATTTCACAAATTGGCATGACAGCAGATGAAATGGTCATATTTTGTAGATCTGATAAGCTTTTTAAATCCCAGCATAAGTGGAACACACTTTCTGAAACCCAGCTGTACCGTATCAAATAATAAATGGTGTTTTGGTTATTGGTAACTTAAATGAAACCTTTATTGGGATACTCTGAAGAGCAACTTGTAATATTTTATAAAAATAGAATGAGATGTAGTGAAATTTATAGGAAGCTATATTGCTATCAAGGAAATTGGGAATACTAATAATGCATTATTACTTTGAATGTACTTGAGTGTAATCTTTGGCTAACCTTTGTTAATGCTACTAGGAGAATAGTAGATTCTTCTATAAAAATTCCATACTTCCCAATACTTAAATATCCTACGTGCAAACTTATGCAGTGTATGTAGTGTAAGTGTAAAATCTACTTTTATTTCACTGTGCTAATGCTAACAAGGGAAGCACCATATCCTAGAACAATCTTCCATAAAGAAGTGACTTCCAAATTTGTTAGGTTATGATTCTTATTGGTATTCTGACTGGGAATAATAAGAATTGTAGTTCAACAGATTTGTTTTGGGAAAGTGGACTGAAAATCTTTAATCATACAGTAATATCTTCTTGTTCTTTTTTCTCTTCAAAATGTATCAAACTATTGCTCATAATAGGTGCATAGTAAGCTAATATTTATTTGTAGTCCTTTCTTTTTAAAATGGGTTTGGGATGGGGGCTTTTTTTATGTTTGAACAGTCATAACAATATAAAATTTTGTGGAGCTTCGGGTGAGGTTCTATGATGGACTAGATGTCTTTGAAGTAGCAGAGACAGTGCTGCAATAGTGAAGGGCAGCCAGCAGTGATTTCCAGCTGGCGAAAGTCTTTCCAGATAAAGGAGAGACTGAGAGATTGCCCACTTGCACCCCAGACAGCTGCTCCTCATGAGGAGACTACAGGATGGAAATCTTGCAGTTTTCTCGTGGGTAGAGCGGCTGGGGGTCAAGGGAAAACCAACTGACTCGCACACGCAGCACAGCCTTTTAAAGGACAGTAAGTCCTTTCTTACCAACCCTCACTTTCTTAATCACTTTAGGATACAATCAATTTACAGTTGAAAAGGGGTCTTTGAAAACAGCAGGACAAAGAAAAAAAGTTCTCAGAGAATCAGCCTTCCTTCCAAATTACAGAAAGCAAAACAAAGTGGAAAATTATCCTTTTAAAAGTCTTTAAAATAACAGCATAGTGCTTAATCAAGATTTTAACTAAGAAAGTTGCAAACAGGTAAAGGGGACTTTATAAATTTAAAAGATAAATATTTTGGTGAAAGTGCTTTTGACGTTATTTGGAATTAACTTAATAAACAGACCAGACCTTCCAACAATGTTGATTGATTGTCATCAAAAGGAAATTGGTGGAATTTACAAAATAAGGAGGTAAGTGTAATATGAGACAGATTGTGTCATTAAAACTACGGAAAGACAGATTGGACTAAAGCCTTAAGGGTATACAGAAAGCGAAAAGGGGGGGGGGGAAGAGACGCCTGCTTTTTACCTTCATCTTTGTAACTGACTGACTTTTACTTTTGGATTATAAATTAAAGAAAAAAAATGGCAACCACCAGAAAAGCTGCAAAGCAGAGTGAGGAAAGGAGAGCTTTGTTAAAGCAACCAATGGCAAAGGGAATTACACCAGAAATATTACAAAAAATGTTTGAAGAGATGGGAAAGCAAGTATCTGAATCTGTTAAATCTGTTAAAAGTAAGCTGGTTGCTTTTGGAGTGACAATGGAAGAAAGGTTTGACAAAGATGAAAGAGGAGAGAAAAGAAGAAGTTACAAAGAAATTGAAGAATCTATAGGGCAACTTACTGGAGAAGTTAAACAAATTAATGACAAAGTAGAAATTTTAGACAGTAAAACAGAAATAATAAACAGAAATGGAAAAGGACTTAGACAATCTGGTATTACTGGAATTGAGAGAAAAAGAATTCTGCTTGAGACTTAGAGCAGTTCCAGAGGTTCCTGGAGAATGCACTAGAGAAAAGGTTGTTCAATCTTTAACAAACTTTTTGGAATGGGATGAAGATGACCATCAGAAATTAGTGATTAGAAACCCCTTATGGACTTTTTGCTGAAAAAAGAGAAAAATGAACTTGTGATTTATGAGTTTGAAGATTAGAAAGGGTAGCATATGGAAAGAAGGAAACTATGATGGTAAAATGTAAATGTTTCTATAACTGTTGTCAAAAAGATTGGAAGCCACTTTTTTATAACCTTTTTTTCCCTTTTCTTTCTTTTACCTTTCTATTTTCTTTTCTATTGCTTTTTCTTTTTCTATTTTCTTTTCTCACTACTCACTATTTTTCCTTATTCTTTTTCTCTTATGGCTTTTATTTTGTTAAAAATTTCTTTAATAAAAATGATATACAAAAAATGCAACGTTTTGTGACATCTTTTGCTTTATACTTATCCTCTTTGAATATGAGTCCTCTTTGTGCTCTTGTACACTACTGGAAAAGACTTCTATGAAGTAAAAATACAATAAATACAATACAATAAAAATAAGTTTCTTTTCTGAAAAATTGTCATTTTTTATTTAATTCATTCTACTAGTTTCTTACTGTTGAAGGTCAAAACTAAGTATCTCTCATATATATTTGTGTTAGTTTTGACCTTCAACAGTAAGAAACTAGTAGAAATATATAGATATAGATCTATAGATATAGATATATGATTATTTCTTTTTAACACAAAGTAACTCATTTGGTGTATTACAAGATAATTATTTCTATTACCTTGTCAAATGATATACATATCTCATTTGTCTTTAAAACTTATTTTTTCATCTTTGCTTGAGTTTTTTTTTCAGAACTCATAGCAATTAAATTATAAACTGCCTCTGAGCAAAATAAAATGCTTCAGACATTATTTGAATACAGTAGGAGTAAGCACAATATTGTGTTTCTTCTTATCTATTCATTTAGATGATCAGATAGGAACCGCTTCATCACAAGTTACCTGTTACACCATTTTTATGAGTTACCTTGGGGATCTGTTAATCTATTTTGTTTTTATCAAAATATGCTATGAAAAACAAATTGTGCGCTAAACTGGTTCCTCTAAAGGAAGAGTAGGTTTCCTTTTGTTCAAACTGATACATCTGTTACCTATCATCTGGTGTAAATGTTGTCTGTCATATGCATTTATTGTTTCACTTAAGTAGTACCATTTTGATAAATATATATTTTTAAATATTCTACTGTAGTGTTTGTCATATTTACAAATAGCTGTCAGGAATTTTACAGAAATGGACTCATACGTCACATTAAAAGACAACTTCTTAATAGAGTAAAATCAAACCAAAAATTAGTCCATCCACTGTTAAGTGAACAAATTCCTACTGATTCAATGAGGCTTCCTATTACTTTTTTTCTACTCGGATTTCTGTGTTTGGAGTAGATTGGGGATGTTTATACTGAGGGATGATTGAAGGTAGCAATTCTACAGGCAGATTCCATTTCTATTGGTAGATGGTTATCGTAGGATGCAACCACAAAATTACTAGACTGAGGAGGGGGGCAGGAGCCAGGCAACTGGGACTTGACAGAAAAGAAACAGAGTCCACATGTTTTCTGTAGCATCTCACTGCATTTCTGGCCTGGGAACACTGAAATGCTCACTGAGCCATGTACAGCTTCTTTTCATTAGTATTCAAGTGCAAGATAATATACAAATTAAACAAGGTTTGGGAGTGACTAATTGACCCAATCATGCTAGGTGAGAGGCATCCCAGAATTATTCAAGGAGAATCTAGCAGAGGTGTTTCTGTGAGTTTTAATTCATTTGTTCATTTTAGCACACTAGTATTTTCTCCATATCATGTTTAGAAATAGCTTTTCTACTGTTTAGACTTTTTAATTGCTTCATTAGGTTTTCATGCAAAGAGTAAAGAATATATGTCTCAGTACTTGATGAAGCTAGGTGAATTATGGATCTTGACCCTTCCATGAAAGTGGTAAAGTCATAGTTATATAAAACAATGTTGTAAAATACAGGAGTTTTTATTAGGAATATGCATTGATATGATTTCATTTGCATTACAATTTGGGAAGCATTTAGGTTCACTTCAGATTGATCCAGAAATGAAATCTAAATCTTTGTTTGCAAATAAGAGATCTGTAAATTAGCAAACAAAAATAAATTGTACTTAGTTTTGTCAGAATTGAATGAAATTTGTAAATGGAGTAGTCCCTCATAAAGAGAGAAAGCTGCCTAATTTAAAACAAATCAATGTGGAGGTTTGGAAAGAAGCTTTTATATTTTGATCTTTAAAAAGAAAAAAAGAGTCACCGATCCCTTTTATTTCCTGACAAAATTGAAATAAAGAGAGAAAGCTGCCTAATTTAAAACAAATCAATGTGGAGGTTTGGAAAGAAGCTTTTATATTTTGATCTTTAAAAAGAAAAAAAGAGTCACCGATCCCTTTTATTTCCTGACAAAATTGAAAGAAATGTTCAAGC